TCTCTCTCTCTCTCTCTCTCTCCCCTCCACCCAAGGTTTAATATTATTCTAAAGGGAAATTTCAAACTGATTTTTCATTTTGTTTCTTTTCTTTTCTGTTGGCTTTTCCATACACAGTTAGATTTTCTCCTCGACTCCATTTATTTTCTAAAAGTGGAATACATCATTGCTTTTCTTTGTTTGTTTTGTTTTGTTTGTTTGTTTATTGTTGTTGTTGTTGTTTGTTTTGTTGTTTTTTTGTGGGGGGGGGGGTTGCTTGTTTCTTTTCCCCCCTCTCGGCTTCTCCATAAAAATGTCACGTCGAAGTTCAATCTTTTATAAAAGTGAAACTACAAGTTGACTTTACTTTCGTTTCTTTTCGCTTTTTCCCCCCTTCAGCTTCTCAATAAAAAAAACTCTCGGAGAGGTTCAATCTTGTAAAAAAGTGAAACTGTAAGTTGACTTTACTTTTGTTTCTTTTCGTGTTTTTTTTTGTCCCTCCAGCTTCTCATCCACGATCTCCACCCTGACGTGGAGCATGTTTGGCATGGGTTCCGTGAGCGTGCCCTCGCTCAACGACTACGAGGGCGAGAATGTCCCTGTCTACTCACTCACAAACCATCCGGGAAAGTGAGTACTACATATAGTGTGTTGTTTGTTTGTTTGTCTGTTTGTCTGTTTGTTTGTTTATTTGTTTATTTGTTTGTTTGTTTGTTTGTTTGTTTGTTTGTTTGTCGGGGAAGGGAGTACTACATACAGTGTGTTGTTTGTTTGTTTGTTTGTTTGTTTGTTTGTTTGTGGGGGAAGGGAGTACTACGTACAGTATGTTGTTTGTTTGTTTGTTTGTTTGTTTGTTTGTTTGTTTGTTTGTCGGGGAAGTGAGTACTACATACAGTATGTTGTTTGTTTGTTTGTTTGTTTGTTTGTTTGTTTGTTTGTTTGTTTGTTTGTTTGTTTGTTTGTTTGTTTGTTTGTTTGTCTGGGAAGTGAGTACTACATACAGTGTGTTGTTTGTTTGTTTGTTTGTTTGTTTGTTTGTTTGTCGGGGAAGTGAGTACTACATACAGTGTGTTGTTTGTTTGTTTGTCGTGTTAGGCATGTCTGAGAGAAGGGGGAGATTGGGTGAGAGAAGGAAGGAGGGAGAAAGAGAGGAGGGAATTGGTGGGAAGAAGAAAGAGAGAGAAAGATTCGGATAGATAGATAGATAGATAGATAGATAGATAGATAGATAGATAGATAGATAGATAGAGAGAGAGATAGAGGGAGAGAGAGAGAGAGAGAGAGAGAGAGAAGAGAGAGAGAGAGGAGAGAGAGAGAGAGTCACTCTTTCCATCCTCAACTGTTTTGAATCTGTCACACGTACGTGAATACTATCCTTTTGAATTTTAAAAAATTGTATTGTTTGGCAAAACGGTGTAAGCTACACAACAGAGAAAAAACCTGGTTTTAACTTAGTTTTAAGTTTAGCTTTTAAAAGAGTTTTATAGTACTTGCAACACAATAAGACCATTTAAGTGCCTAAGATTTGATGCGTTACAAGAGAGTAACAAGCACAAAAAGGAAGGAGGAGAGATAAGGACGATAGATGTTTGACAGAAAAGAAGGAGGAGAGATAAGGACGATAGATGTTTGACAGAAAGGAAGGAGGGGAGATAAGGACGATAGATGTTTGACAGAAAGGAAGGAGGGGAGATAAGGACGATAGATGTTTGACAGAAAGGAAGGAGGAGA